TAATTCCTACCTGTCCTTCACTAGCTCCTGAGTCAGGCTACAACTACTGAGTCTTCCAAGTGGTGAGCAGGCCCTTTGCTCCTCCAGATGATCCTCTGCTCTAAGACCAAGACTGACTATTTTGTTCATCCTCAGGAGCTCTATTTACCCAAACCATGTTTTCACATGTTCAGACATGAGAAGCATAGAGCTTTATCAAGGATTTAATCTACCTGTGGCAATTCTGGTACATCGTATCACACATCTATGGTTTCTTGTATCTGTAAAATTATTTACTTATTGTGTCTTTTATTAATGAACAATGGATGTGCATTAGTGAATCATCCAAAGCAGAATTAAATTGCTTTCCTGTCTACTTTTGCTTTATAAATCAATAGATCTGTGACAGTAATATGTTTTAAACACACAGAAAAGCTGGATTTTGATTTTTATAGTGAGTTGTTCAACTATTTGCTTGCTAGCCTCAGAATACTTATATTCTCTAAGCCAAAAAAGAACTGTATCACTTTATATACAAGCTTAGCTTTGCCTCTTCATTCCCCTCTATTACCTTTGTTATTTTTCACAGACCAGTACACAGGTCCATGTATTTCTCTGATAGGTTTTAATTTTTTCTGCAGTCCCATGTTATTGGCTCCCGAGCCAATTTACTTTACTCAACAGCATGATCTATTCAAGTGGAAATGGGAAGTTTATGCAATATTTTCTCTAGACTTCTCTGAATGTATTCTCTGAGCCACACTGGCTGGAGTGTACCTTTATTTTAGAAGCTCTGCAGTCTTGCAACACTTGCACAAGAGCCACTGGAAACCTGAAGTCCTGTGACTGTGAGGCAAGAATTGTGAAGATTCTGTGAAAGGAGAACTCTCAACAAAGATTCTGTGAAAACAAGATCACTGAAGAGCTCTGTATACATGTTATAAGGCAGAGAAGGGAAAAAAAAATTTAAAAAATGTTTAGGGGAATGCTTCAGTGAGGATCCCATATAACACTGGAAAATTCCCTGAATTATTGATGGCAAATAGAATATCTCAAAACCCATTCCCTACCAGACCATGATGGGATGCATCATTCGGAAAACTTCTTCCAGTTTTTCCTGGTTCCTCTGAACCTTTAGGTAGGGTCAGGCCCTCAGTGAAGTTTCAAACAGAAAGTGTGAAACAACTTTTAGCTCCTCACAAGCCTCCTTCCACTTTTATGGTGACCATAGGTTACTGAAAACAGAAAAAAACCCATATACATCTAGATCACATATTGATTTATAGTTGGACCAACTTAAAGAGAGCTTACAAGATGTTCCAGAGCATGGTTTAAATTTAATTGCACGTATCTCAAATGAGACACCTTTATCAGCCTACTGTCAGATTCCATATTGTCACTGTATTGCTACCATAGCCCTGCTCAGTGTCTGAAAAGGCTGCACGATGTCGTAGGCTGCAGCAGAGAGAAGTCTACTGACAGTCTACTCCAGTCTTTTATTACTGTCCCACTCTGTGTCCATCACTCTGGCTTTTAGCTCTACGTAGCCACTTTTTTTCCTGTGACAAACATTCTTACTCCCGCCCTTACTTGATTAATCTTTTCACCAGCTGTACTTGTGTTTGCAGAGTATGCGTTGCTATGCATTCATTCCACCACCTCCACACCTCAGAGCATTGGCAACAATCACATTCCTTACAAGAAAATGCTGTTAACTAGTTGCATCCAAAGTTAAGGAAATGAAATGTCAGTAATATGAATTGTGACTAGACGGCAATTTTGCTCTAAGAGTGAGTGATCTGTGTTAGGCAAAGGCGACACAGGACCACATGGGAAGAGGACCACATAAGAATAGACAACACTTGGCTTGACAGAGTTGTTCCCTCTGCTTGCTCCATAGTTTGTGGGACTGCAATTACCAGCAACAAATTAATATACTTGCCCAACACATGCTGGCACAAAAGGGGGAGGAGAGTGGGTGGCAGAGCAGCAAGATGTTTGTGTGGTTAAATAACAAGTAACTAAGGCTCTAGTAAGTGCTCAAGAGTAGATGCTGTAGCTTCTGGGTTTTGAAGGAATGACAACACGGGCATTTGCTGTATGCACACAATTTCCTGCATTTGTATCAGCTGTCAGAAGGATAATGCCCACCCAAGGACTGGGTACGCTGTGCCATGGCCCAGGAAAGGTGTTTGAATTCTTCCAGGCTGCATTGCCAGGGTTGAGCACCATATTTTTTCCTGTCAGTCATTTAATTATGATTAATCTATCAGATGCAGCAGGTGCAGCTTGCAGTATCAGTGCACAACCTCTGTGTGTTCCTATCCTGCTAATTCCCAAATGGAAATGTAAAATAGACTTAAAGAGAGTTCGTTTCTGTCTTTACTTTTACGCGAAACTATTTGAACAATTTGCAGATACGCTTTTTTGTTTCTTTGATTAGGTTTTATTTGCTCCTTTATATTTATCTCAAAGACAGCACTATTATTAAAAAGTTCCAAGGTCAGCCTACACCATTTTCCCCAACTCCATAATTTTCTCCTTACAATTTTTCTTCAAAGAATGAATAGTACACTATCCAATGCATTGAAACTGCACTTTGCTAATGGAAACACTACCTGGAGCTGCTTTGAAATGATATCCAAGGCAGCCCAGAGCACTGAGCAATCTGTGTGTGATGGGCACTGTGAGTGCCCTACTGTTGCCATGTCCTGGTATGACATTCATGGGAGTTATTCCCAGAAAGATTTGAATCTTCTGTGCTGGGTGTTTTGGGTCTTAGCAATGGGATATATCTTCAAAACTGATTTGATTTCCTAATTCATTGCTTCAGAACTGGCAAAGAGTTCTTACAGAGAACCACCTGTTCTCTGATGTTAGGACAACTTCAGACAGTCTGTGCTTGTCTCTCCTGGTTCCTTCCCAGCTCACTTGCCATCTTGAGCCTCTGCTTCCTGCCCAACAGCCACGCAGGCAGGTGCTGCCCACTACTAATTCCTGCGTGCATCCTAATTTCAGCTCCATGACGAAGGTCCCTCTGCCCATGCTTGCTTTCTATCTCCCCAGAGCCTGGTCTTTCCACTGCAGCACAGTATTCAGCTCTGATAAACCTTTAGTTCAGACTACTCCATACTTTATTTGCATATTCTAGTTTATCACTAACACTGGCGAAGGAAAAGCACTGGCAAGAGAACTCAGTGAAGGTTCATACTGAAAATGAAATGGTCATTCATTTATTATGTATTTTTTGGCAACAGTCTTTTTTTTAATAGTCATTTATGCCGGCCAGAGGAAGTGTGTGGACAATCTGCCAACATGGGTGAGCTCCTGAGATTTTTCAGTAAGTCTTGCCCAGAGGGTATGTCTCTTGACGTCTCATCTCCGGCAGTTCTGGGATAATTTGAGAATCTGATTTTATCTTTCCCCGGAGTAAGTCGTGAGCTCCCATGACTACGGACAGCAACTCCGGGAGATGACTGAGCCAGACTCACGCCTAAGGCTGCAGGGCAGCTCCTCTCCGGAGCCGTGTCAGGACGCGGTGCCCGGCAGGGCTGTCCGGAGCCCTGGCAGCGCTCCCCGGGGCCGGCGGGGCGGGCGCGGCTCCGGGCGCTGCCGCAGCAGCGCAGCCGCCCGCGGACTACAGCTCCCGGCGTGCCGAGCGGAGCCCGCCCGCCCCGGCACTGCCCGGCTGGGCTGGGCCGGGCCGGGCCGGGCCGGGCTGTCCGGAGTGGCTGGGAGCAGCGCGGCCGGGGGCGCGGCCGGTGGCGGAGGCGGGCGGGCGGTAGGTGAGCGTGTCCTGTGTCCGTGTGTCCGTGTGTGCGGGCGGGGCCGGCGCCGTGGCGGGCAGGTGAGAGCCCCGCGGGCAGGAGGAGGAGCAGCGGGAGGAGCAGCAGCGGCAGGAGGAGGCGGCGTGCTCCTGCCTGCCGGGGATGCGTGTGTGCCTGTGCGTGTCTGCGCGCCGCTCACCTCGGCATCGCTCGGGTCACTCCCTGGCGGGTGCATCCAGCCACTCCCGGCGCCGGCGGGAATCGCTTTTCCCGGCGCGGCCGCTTCTCGCTGAGGTCCCGGGAAGAGCGTGAGTGAGCAGCGGCTGGGAGCGATCACGTATGTGCTATAGACGCACATGTGTTTCCTACGCATGCAACACATTTGCCGGGCTGCAGGCTTCGCCCCGTGACACCGGGCGGCCTCGAGGGGGAAGGGGCCCAGGCGAAAGGGGTAATAACGAAATAATTGCAGATGAGAGGTAATATCCGTCTTTGAGTCATCGGTCTTTGAGGCATAATTTCATTCCAAAAGCTCTTAGATGGATGGTAGATCTTACATAGGAAAGCACTGCTTTTCCCATAGGATTATCAGATTTCCACCGGAGAATACAGATCCTGGATTATTGAGCTACATGGGATTTGCGTGTTTCTTTCTAATTAGTCTGTGAATCTGAGTGTAAAATTCTTTATTTGGAAGGGGGGGGATGGGAGTTATATGCTTCTAAAAGAACAGACATATCTTTTCTCTGACATTTTACACAGTTTTTCTGGTTATCCCGTGCTCCGTGTATACTTACTGCCTTAATTGGATAGTGGTGTCGAAGGTTGATTAGATTCCCTAATAGATTTTGGATCTGCAAGAAGATTGCAGTTTTAAATGTGTGGTTAAAGCAATCGTGTTTGCCGTCTCCCTTCAAACAGTTGAGAGGAGGGCTGATGTATTACATTTGCGTTATCTTCCCTTTGGTTTATTAATGTATCATTGTGAGGTTGTCGGGTTCGGTTTTGTTGTTGTTGTTTTTTCCCCCCTCTGCTATTTCATTTGCAGACTGAAAAGAAATGAATGTCAGAGAGGATTTGTTTAATCATTTAACAGCTGACACAAGCCATGTCCCTAACAAAGCGTTGGTGAAAAAGTAGAAGATTTCTGGGATACAGCAGCGCCAGTACTGTGAAGCCGCTTCTGCAGGTCAGGAGCAGCATTTGCTGGAGGATGCCGTAGCCCAGGAGGTGAGGCTCATGGGGACGAGGTCGATGGCTTGCATGGAGCTTCTCTACCTGGCCGAGGAGAGCAGACAGGTGCCCCTGGGCACCGCTACTGGCTGGAGCCTGCCCTCCCATCCTTACGAGCAGCAGCAGTGTGAGGGGGGTGAGCTGGACCCCAGAGCAGCCGCTGCCGTGGCAGCCCTGCACTGTGAACGGCACTGCAAGCCCTTGCAGAGGGGCCCTGTGGCTGAGCCCCCCCTGGCACCCCAGCCCCCCTCCCTGGGCACCTCACCCCAGGAGCACCCTGCACCCTCCAGCACCTCCCAGCCCTGCCACCCAGCCGAGCGCTTGCCCAGGGAAGAGGATGGAGGGAAGAAAAAAGCCTGCTGCTGTGCCCAGGAACTTGAGACATCGTTCACCTGTGTGGATGAAAATGTAAATCTGGAGCATGCAAGAAGTCCCCCCACTCCTACAGGTGGCCAGGATGCCCCTCTGCAGCAGCATTCCTGCAGGGAGCTGCCACCTGAATGGGTGCACGATTCTCCTTCCTTGGTCTCCGAGGAGGACGATGCTGCCTCAGAGGCAGCAGCTGGGAAATCCGTTGACTATGGATTCATTAGTGCCATTTTGTTCCTGGTTAGTGGCATTTTGCTGGTGATAATTTCCTACGTGGTACCCAGAGATGTGACTGTGGATCCCAACACGGTGGCTGCCCGGGAGATGGAGAGGCTGGAGAACGAGAGCGCAAGGATCGGTGCTCACTTGGACCGCTGTGTTATCGCTGGGCTGTGTCTCTTAACCCTGGGGGGCGTGGTGCTCTCCAGCCTGCTGATGATGTCCATGTGGAAAGGGGAGCTGTACCGGAGGAGCAGGTTTGCATCCTCCAAGGAGTCTGCAAAGCTGTATGGATCTTTCAATTTTAGAATGAAGTCTGGTGCAAATGATAATATGCTTGAGCTGTCATTAGTTGAGGAAGATGTGCTTGCCATAGATAATTAGTGTGGTCATGATTTTTAAGGCAGCATTTCTACAGGAAAATATGTTTCATTAAAGAAAGCAGATGCAGCTAAAGATAGCTGGTGATGCAGTTTATTTGTCTGACAAGAATGGTGTTATCTTAAGCTCTATAATCAAATGTTTTCAATATATGAGTACTTGTTGTAAAGGGGAACTGTGCCAGATGAAATGCAAATGATATAAAATAATGAAAACCACTGAATAAAAAGAGATTTGTGATAAGTAGGTTCCTCAGATACTCGTTTATCCTAATATAAAACATTCCACTGGTGTCTTGCCTATATAATTTTCTTATTACTCCCATATAGAACAAGAATGACCTTGACACTTTGGAAGCTGTTTATTTTTGAAGCCTGCAGAATTATTAACAGTCTACTTGACAGAATGTTAAGTAGCAGGACCAATAATCAAACAGTAGGGCTAATATTTCATTAAGAGATACTATTTTATTCTTTAATTTTAAGCAGATCCCTTCTCTTTAATTAAGTGACAGCTATGGGAAGAAAGAACACCACTTGGTCATGACTGGCCACAAACCTCCCATGTTTTCAAACAATTGTACAATTAGTGATAATTATTTAAAATATAAAATAAGAGGCAAAGGGCAGGAAACCATATGGCTCATGGTACTGGTAGGAGACAAAAGACTCTTTCAGCTTGAGGTCAGTGGCTCCATTTCAGTTCAGATTAGCAATGATTGATAGTCATTAACTTCTGATAGCTATAGTGACCCATATAAAAGAAGTTTAGTTCCTGGTGGACAGATGTCTTTGTATGAAAACTGCCGTAACAAGAATTAACAGACCTCTTGTTTGGAGTCTCAAAAGACCTAAAGACTGAAAAAGCATGGGGATGCTGAGACAGGACACTTCTCCTTCAGTACACACGCCAGAAGAAATTCAAGCTCAGCTGCAGGGCTTTGCTTATACTGGGGCTGTCTGCATCTTATTAGTCCTTTTTTAAACTTCTGTTTTATTTCAGTAGTCTGTCAACCTTCTCATAACCAGCAAGGAAAGGTCAGGAAGGAGCTCTCTAAACTCGTTCAAGAAAGCCCAATTTATTTGTAAAGAATAAATCATCAGGAAATACAGAGGTTAAGTACCAGGCAGTTTACTGGCTGACATGAGACTCACTTAACATAGGGAATGATCAAGGGTACATGATGCTATTAATCTCAGTTCTTTGGCACTGTAGCCAAAAACCTATACCACTGATGCTATTTGGTTTATTACCAGCCAATTTCTGGGGAACATTGATGTGTTCTTGCAGTGCTGGGAAAACTGACAAAAATTGTTCAGTGCACCAATGTCAGTTCTTACTGAGCAATGGTTACTACATACATACATAAATACATATATATATATATATATATATATATATATATATATATATATATATATATTATCTCTTGTTAATATGTATATGTATGTTATATACGTATGTGTCCCTGGCAAAGCCAAACATGGGTGAAGTGCTCTGTCTGCACAGTCTCTGCAGTCTTGGAAATGTGCTTCACTGTGACAGCCTTCTCACTTGTGAGTTAAGTCTAAAATATCAGGAATATGCATTATTTTTAAAATTTAAAATTTAAAAATAAACTTTTTTTCTCACTGTGTGACACACAAGAGAAGAGTTCTCTTGGGAACGGGTGAGGATATTTTGTTTATACTCCCTTTAACCAATAATATTTGGCAGTACAGAGTTCAGAATAACAAGTGGATGGTGGAAACGTGGGTTCCTCACAGAGAGACTGAATGATATTTTGTCACTTGGTTCTTCATTCCCATTCTCTGGCTATTTTTGTCAGGAGACAAGTGCAGCACCCAAGTCTGAGTCAACTAGTTCAGTCTCTTGTGCTTGCTGGCTGCAGGTGCTGGCGCGGGTGCCTGTGACCAAGGGCCCAAGGAGCTGCCCGGCTCCAGATTCACGCCTTCAGTCAGTAAATTCCATAGTGTGGTACCCGGGCTTTAACACTGGCCTCGCAGAACAGATGCTGCTTCACATGTTCTCTGCTCCAACCACAGCTTTAGGTCAGTGTTCTGCATAATTAAGTTGTAATAAATAGAGAACAAAGTGAGCTGCCTTATTAGAGGGTGCTGCTGCCCAGTAACTGATTCTCCCAGTTTAAGTTATGATACACAGCGTGTTCACAGGCAGTAACTCAGAAGTGACCAGCATCTCCACAGTTGTTTTTGAGGAGCTTACATCCTTCTGGCTGTGTCATCAGGGATTCCTGATCGAATCTCTAGGATAAATACATGAAATGTCTTCTTAGATCTGGAAGCTGCCTTGGCCTGTTGTGATCAGTACAAGTGAGGAAGGAGCTAGCCTGAGAATCTGGATGCAGAGCAGGAAGGTCCCTCTTTTGCTGGCCTTGGCCAGCTGCTGGAGTATGGGGACACTGCCTGCAGAGCTTTGCTCGAGGTGGGGCAGGTGGGAGCAGCCCTTCCTCTCATCCTGCCTTGAGGATGGGAAGGGGCTGGCTATGGCCTCCACAGGTTCAGGGAAAGCCATGCCGAGCAAGAGGGCAAAATGTTTCTGAGCTTGGGTCAGCAAGATGTTGGGGGGGTGCACAGATAACTCAGGGGCTGGAAACCTTTTCATCTGCCTGAGCCCTGTGTTCTCACCTACATGACAGAAGCTTTGAGGCTGGTGGTTTTGAGAGCTATTATTTTTATTTTTTAATTATACATATGCATGAAATTGGAGTACATTCCATTACTGCAGAAAGATGACAGCTTAAGCTGTATGGATCACAGATTTCTTGTAGAAACCATGACATGCCTTAATGCTGATTATTAGCAGTAGAAAAAGGAACGCTTCCCTGACTGTCAGTATGTTATTGTCAAGTGAGAAGTTTTCTGACACTTTGTAAAATGCCTGTCACAGATCATGAACCTGCAATATTTTAATGAACCCTCAAATTTTCCCTAAGCATTTTAAGGAAACATTAGTCAACCTAATAAACTAAATGTACACTGCAGAAGTGTGAGGAGTAATAAAATTTAAACAACAGGACTAACAGAGTTTCTTTATTTTGGTGTGTGTGGTGTGAAAGGGGTGAAGGAAGGCCTTCAGAGCACAGGAATTTAGGAGATAAAAATGCTCAGGACATTTCTCTGATCACCTTTAGAAATTGCAGCATGATGTGAGTTGACAGCACAATATAAAACCTCTGGACTCTCAGGTTCTCATGCTGTGAAACCAAACAGAGACAGAAGCCAAAGCACTTGCTGTCTGGTGGCTGATGGTGGAAATGAATGTATGAGCCCACTGGCCAGTGGACAGGCCTTCACACCATTCACCTCACATAGGATGGTACCAAAGAGAGCAAGGCCAAGAGACGTTTATTGCTCTCTCATTCCCCTTCGCAATTTGACTTCCCCTGCTCAAAATTTAAATGCTTTAAAGGTACAAATGGGAGAAGAGTTGGTGGTGTTTTTTTCATTGCCTGGGCTAAAGTTGTCACTTGATTCATCGGAGAGCTTTCTCCTTTTTTGTGGGAACTAAATTTTGGCATATACCGAGTGGGTTTTAGGTGCCCTCTAAACATATCTCAATTCTGAGTGTGGATTTCCAAGAACCCTGGAAACAGAACAGGATTTTTGTCCTTAGTCAGTCTATTTCTGACCAGTCCCAGTTGCCAAATATGACATTTCCCCAGTTTCTACCTCATGACACATTTGCCGGCTGGGCCCAGCCCTGGTCTCTCCCTTCCCACTGCAGGTGTCCATGCTTCCCTGAACTGTGGGAAGGGAGGCTTCCCTGCAGCGAGGTGACAGCTGCCAGTGTCCAGCTCCCTGCTGCTCCAACAGCTCCCTGCTGACCCATGTTCTCAGTTCCTTTTTCTTAGTCAGATGCTGTGGCTGAGGCTGGACACTGGGAGCTGCATGGCATCTGCTGGGGATCTCATCAGAACGGAGGCTGTCACCGCACGGTCCCAGCCCCCTCGCTGCAGGTGCCCAGCGTGTGTCCCTCCAGCCTCGCCTGCTCCTGCCAGCCTGAAGCCAGCCCCGTGGCAGAAATGCCCAAGACTCTCCTAGGGAGCTACACTGGGTTGTTGCTGGGTTTTTATGTGTTTACAATTTTTTAATCTTTGTAATTCTTTTAAAAATCTGTCTGCAGTAACTCTAGAGTTTACTGACTAAGAAAGCAACTGGTTTAATCTTGTAAAACTCTGACCCACAACGGGGTGAAACATCACAGTACATCATGAGCTGTTCAGTAGTGCGTTTGATGCCTTATTACAATCGCAGCTGCGTTCTGTACAGAGTTGAAAATAAAAGTGTATGAAGCTGAGCACTGTCATTGTCCTCTTTGCTGATTCCAGTGGCTGGCTCTTCTCTCCGTGCCATGGGTGCAGTGCGCAGTGTTCAGCAGCATGGAGCCCATGTAGGCAGTAGGGCCACCTGGCAGAGGTGGTGCTGGATTGAGCTGTGCCGGCACACCAAGCTCATCCCCAGCTCACCCCTCCATCGTGTCCCTGCTGCTGGCCCTTCCCAGACAGAAGTGTCAAGCAATACAGTTTCAACTCCATGCAACCAGAGCAAAAAAGAGAAAAAGTGTGTGGAAGCAGCCATGGCTGTGTGAGCAGGCAGCTGAGGAGGTGCTGTGTCAGATGGTGGGTGTTGAGCCCCTGCTCACCATCACCTCATGCATGACCACTTCAGTATCACATCCTCCCCTCAGCCCGGCTTGGCCGTGGCCAGGGCAGGAGCGCTGGGCCCAGCAGCAGCCATGGGCATGGTGGGTGGGCATGCGGCTCCCAGAAACCACGGGAGGTGATGGGCGATGCAGGGAGATGCAGGAGCTATGTTCCTGGAGGTCTATGGGCTAGGCATGGCCACCTCAGTGTCAGCTTCACCTCTCCCCCCTGAAGAGCTGTGTCAGAGTGGGCAGCAATGGGAGGGTGTTGGTGCAGCGCCAGCAGTGACTGGCACCAGCAGCTAAGCAGAACCTCCAGGGAGCCACAGTTCTCAACT